CTTTATTTTTCTTGGTATATTTTAATAAAAAGCACCAAACTAATATATAGGAAATAAAGTTTTATTAAATTAAAAAAGAAAACTGTACTTCAACTTCGAATTTAAATATGTTGGAAGGGAATGTGGATTAAATGAACCTCTCAATTTCATTTAGTTTTACTAATTATTATTTGAGTTTTCGTTGTTTTCATGTAAATAATTTATTTATATATTAAATCAAAATAATAATAGTGTTTCCAAGATATTCCATCCACATTTATAGGATATTCTGCCTGTTTGTCAACGACCTACTTTTTTTTGTACTGATATCGACATAAATTGCTTAAGCCATGTTTTTTACGCATCACTTCACACACTCACCGTTTGAGAATAATTGTATTTTTTTCCTTTTCTGTTGTTCCACATCGGAGACAAAGGATTTCCCTATATATTGCATCGTCATTCGAGGTAGAAAGTTTTCCATAAAGTAACAATTAATGACACAGAATGTAGAAAGGGTCCAGTTATGCGTAGAGAACCGAATTTTAGTATGAATTGTTTCAATACTCTCTTCTCTACATTCTGCACATCAATGAAGAACAACATGATGATATTAGTATTTAACTTGATAGATAATGCCAACTACGGCTTTGATACATAAAAACACCGAAAACATATTGAGATTGTGATATAATTTTAATATCCATGCCAAAATCAACATGAATAGCACCTGTATATCACGTATGTAAGTAGATTTGAATCAATCAGAGTCGAACTACCATGATTTAAATTTCGTTAGATTCTGGGATTTTTTCACAATCAACTTAGAAGATAAGTCGAATATCAGTATGTTATTTTAAAAATTAAACCATAGAATGTTCTTTATCTGTGATAATCCAACAACTATAAGTATTCTTACACATCTTAATGACCTTCAAACTTTCACTATTAACGTTTCAATTTACTGTTTTAATGTTAAGTTCTCTGCATGATATTACTTCTCCGCAATGAATATTTTTACATTCCCAAACTATTGCGAACGATAATTTCTATCATTATTCTGAATTAGATATACATCAATATCAGTTAAATGGGCATCTAATAGAGCCCATCGGCTTTGGATCCAGAAATTCTTAAACCCGATGGCGCCTAGTATCCAATCGCTCAGTTAAAGATTGAAACTAATACATTGTCATCATATATGATAACTAATGAAGATTGAACAGAAACTAGTACGCAGACAATGAATACACGAAAAAGACATACATAGGGCACTACAATAGTTTTTTCACCCACTTCTTCTAAAAGCCGTAGTTTGGGTTCAAGTATTCTGTTATAATGCTTAGACATATTTAG